AGTGGTTCCGGGACATCCTTGCCAACATGGTTGACCAGTCCTGGTCCTGTCCTGCTGAAGAAGAACGTTAGATCATCTAAATATGATCCCATAACAGAGGAAGTTGATTTGGTAACATGCAACCCTCAGTATGCTGTTATCCGAACACCAAACGGCCGAGATGAAACTTTTTCATTACGAATGTTAGCCCCTAGGGAGGAACAAAAAGTTATAGAAAATGAGAATCAGAGTGGAACAGAGCTTGATATTGGCTGCCCCATCCAAAGCTCACCTCCCAGGAATCAACCTATTGATTCTATCATGCCTGAAGAACCACCAGCACCACCAAAGACATAGCCAGACCGTCTGAAACTCAAGCAGATGAAACTACACATACATACAATCTTAGAGTAAGGAGAACTAGGCCCAACTATAAATTGTAAAAGCTCATCAGCTTACTAGAGCTCTTACTTTGACATTCAGATTTGTCTCCAAAATGACATTTGTTTATTTTACTACTTTCATTTGGTTTTGTTGACTTGATTTTAATGTGATATTTGATCTATCATGATATATTTTAATAAGCTATTTGATTTACCATGTTATATCAACATGTTACATTATGTCATGCTATTCTACATTGTTTGTTTACTTGAATCTCTATTATTACTCTGCACTTACTTAATTCTTTCATTGTTTATAATACTAGTTAGCATTATTTGAACCGGGGTGAATGTTATGAAAATTATATTCTGTATCGGTTGTCGTTCTTATGTTTACATGTGCTTGTAACTCGTCCGTGAGAATGTGTTTACGAAATGTGTGTTGTGTAGTCATTCAGTGTATTGAAGCCATACTATACAGACATGGTTCTCAGCTTTCTTATCTTTATGTTCCATATGTAACAATATACTTCAGTTCTAATACTTGGAAAAGAAAATTAAACCAAAATGTCAAAGATTTTATAAAGACTGAAGTCATAAGAGCCAAACATATGTGAATGTAGCATACTAAATAGTGTTTAAGAACTTGTCAGATTTAATGATTTATGTTTGAATTATCACACAATAATGGTAATAATGCATTGAGTACCAAGTCACATAGATCTGACTGGCAACACCTACTGTCCTGTTGGCTCATATTTTGCATGGCTGTGGCCAAACTTTGACTCATGGTACCCCCACTGTGGGAAAAAATGGAAATCGTCTCTCATATTCTTTTTGACTGCCTCTGACTTGCTGATCTCCTTCTCAACAGGTCTGTGAAACAACAAATTATCAACCTGTTTGTGACCTAGTTAGTAATGTTCCCCTTTCAGACCTTCAGATTTATGGGTAGATGGTGTAAAGATCATCTGTTTCTGTGGCCCACAGTTAACAAAGGTGTCTTGTGGCCAACCTAATGACTCATTCTGGCCAACCCAATGACTCATGTAGTCATTGGGTTTGACTCATGGGGCCGCCACAACAACCAATCGCCTTTATTTTTTATCAAACTATTGTCAGGTATTAATGGGTATTAGAGCTGGGAGAACTCAGAGGCGCCCTCAAGATTCCCAAATTAAAAATCCTAGTCTTCACTTGGATTGGAACCAAGGACCTTCACTTCAGAAGCCAAACACTTTATCACTCACCCACCATGTCTCCTTGGTGACATAATTGCACAACGCTAAAGAGCAAGGTTTCTGTCCAAGGCTTTTACAAGAGAGGATTTGAACCTCTAAAGCCCTCACTCAAATGGGTTTGATGATGATGTAGACTAAAGTCATATGACTTTATATGATTGAAGCCAAATGTCTATGAATGTAGCATACTAAATAGAGTTCAATATCTGGTTAGATTTACTGATTTGAGTTTGAAATATTATTGATAACTTTGATTGTAGCTCATTCAAATAAATCTGTGATATAAGAAACCCCACTAAATCAAAATATTTATATATTTGACAGACACTTTGGACTAATGCTCCAATACTGGAATATAATCCAACCACCAAAAGGGCCACTCTGCCAAGCTACATGAGGCCGCAGTTGGCCAGCTCAGCCAGAACAAGTCCACGCATCAAAATAACAAGCCACTCTGGAACTTGAGGAAGGCAACATTTAGCAGACAAGGCTTTGTTTTTCACCTGGAACACAATGGAGGGTGACTTCAACTCTGTCTGTTCAAGGGTTGGCATTGAATGAATTTCTACATTAGTACTTAACTAAGTAAAAATACATCATTTGTTTGTAAACTACTGATATGTAGGAAACTTATTTTAAGAACATATTACCTGACAGTCACAAGTAATGCTGTTTTATATGTTACATACATGCCATACACTGGCGAATACTGAACCTTGTCAACCTTATATATTTACATAAAAGCGTATGATGGCCATATTTATTAGGCTACAAATGATATGAAGTATATTCTGATTTTGACTGAAAATAAAAGTGTCTGGAAAGTCACTTGTGTTTTAAATATAAATTGTAAAATATTTATTTGTATATATAACAATGACATGTATAGCTTAAATATGAAGTGTTACTTTATAAATGATATTCATTTTTACTTGTTTTTAAACCATAAAAATGTTCAAGCAATTACATAATGGATATTTTGAAATTAAATATCACTTGATCCAGTTTTTATAAATTCTCAAATGAATTTGCATTTTTATGCACTTTCCATTCTTTATTGTATGCTGAATAATAAAAAAAACACACAAAGTGAACTTTATTTTTTGTCCAAAATAATAAAGACCAAAACTAATGTCTATCTTGAGTACAACAATACCACACGAAGTGCCTCAATGTCATTGTAACCTACATTTTATTTTAGTGGTGTGATTAAAAAAGTTTTTTTTGTTTTAAATTTTGTAGCCCCTTTCAATTCTTCCTTCGTTTTGTTTTTTATTATTAATTTTATATTTTATTACTTGTATATTAGAGATTTTTTCTGGGTGTTTCTGTATTTTGTATTTTTTACAAATGTGGGTGTAAATATGAAGGAGATAACTCTACATATAACTGTCAAAGTCAACTTCTATTAGAACATTATTTTAACTCTTTCCAAACTTAATTTAAAGAATAAAAAATATTGTTAATGACTTACAAAAAATGTTTTCAATTTTGGATCTTTAAATAAATGCTTAAATATTTATAATGTGATCATAAGATAAGATAATGTTTATTTTCTTTAAAAAGAAAATTGAAGTCTACCATTATTGGAAAGTGTTTTTTCCTGCATTATTATTATGATGAAAAAAAAACCCACTACAAACTATTCCATGGTATTGCATTTTACAGAGCAATAGAGATAATGCATCTCATTTTTCATTTACATAGCATGTAAATAAAAATAATTGAATTATTTTGACAACTCAATCAGTGTTGATAAGTTATGATTGTTGATAAATAATTGTCAGAATTTTGTGATAACCTGTGATGTTTGTAAAGTTATACTTATAAATATTCTAAAACAGGATATTGGTGTGTATCTTAATTAAGAAAGATGGTTGTTGTTTGTTTCAGTTTATTTCACCATCATTTATACTGTGATAGCATTTGCTGCCTTAAGATCCCAGTTGAAATTTTTATTCATATGGTTGACATTTTTTGAAGATTCCAAAGTTAAAAAACCTCTTGAAGATAATCTACAATAGTCAATTTGTTTTTATAAATATACATTTTTGTTTACACATTTTTTGTCAAAGTCAAGGAAAATTATTCTGGTATTCATTGCAGAATTGGAAAACAATATTGATGGAATTTTATTTTAATTGAATAACAATAAAGTCTTATAAACAATTTTAAACTCATCATTAGTAATAGGAAAAAAAAATAAAAGCCATCTATCTCTATGTTGCATCAATATCATTGTCTAAATAGAGCTAAAGCTACTCAAGATTTTTTAGGGTGCAAAAAATAGAATAGTAAACATTACAGATAGAAATAGAGTTTAAGCATTTCTACATACAAAGAAATAATAATTGTTTTCTTATTTACATTCTTGGTGGATTCACATGTTTTATTCGTGTCTTTCTTTTGACCTACTTATGTTGACATATATTCTATGCTCTGAAAACACTCCCCCCTCTCCACATTTTTTGTTTTACACAAGCATTAATAACATTTAATATTTTGGCCAGTATATTTGTAATTTACCTGGCCATTTGGCATAGCTGCCAAATCTCAAATAATCCTAGATAATTAGAACAAACAAAATGTTTCTTTGTCACAGGCTTCACCATTATGATTACTATGAAGTAAGATCATGCATTCTTACTATTAGGGGCTAGATAAAATAGTTTTAACATAGTACATTTGTCCATTATATTCACATTGTTTGGAACTAAACAGAACAATGGATAAAAGTTTCTTTATTATGTAATTACTGTATGAGCCACAGGACCAGTTATGAACTGAGATAATTAGCTAAAGTACAAATTATTCAAGGTGTAAATGCACTCAAACTTATCCATTTCTTTCCTGAAAAAGTGATGCTTATATTTTACTTTGTATTTGAAGATGATGACATACTCATTTTATTATTTTATTTTTTTTTTGCTGTGCAGCGCAACGTTTGATTTTATATTGGGCATGAATAGTTTGAGTCTTATTCAAATGCTTGATCTGAATGTTACATATAGTTTTTATCAATAAGAAAGCAGGTCAGATATTTCTTCGGACTCAAAGGAAAGCCTTCTTATTATGATTATCTTATAAATGATTAATTTGAATCTTTTTTTAACTTAATGTGAAATTGTAGATGTTTTTTTTTATTTTCCTTGATTTTAGTGAAACCACAAAAATAAATCTCTAGAGAGAGCAAAATAATAGAATTGATTTTTGGAGCTTGAACATTTCGCGTAATAAAAGATGTTAATATGTTATCAAACTTGTTGGTCACTAACTTATGTAAAAAAAAATGTTGTTGACTTTGTAATTTGTTGTTTTTTTTCAAGGTATGATCTTCCTTTTTCTTTTTTTTTTTTTTATAAGAAAAATACCTAGATCTTCTGTTCTGTTTAGTTTTGTTTTTGTTTGTTTTTTCACTAAAATAATTAATTTGTATATTATTAGTCAAATTTATTTTTCACCATCATTAGCTTAGAAAAGTAGCAAAACTATCAAATAAATGTTTTTGTTCTATTACAGTCTACTTCATCGACACACGTATAAATCTGATTGTTCATTTTTTTTAAACTAGTCTTTTTGTAACTGTTCATGTTAACTGTCCCTTCCATTGATGAATCTCATTCACAATTCGTATAACAATGAAATTAAATAAAATATTGTGAAAACTACTTTAAGATAGACTTGTTCAGTTTTGAGCAATTCATTATTTTATTACACACAGACATCAGATAAATCCATTTAGAGTTCCCGCATTCAATATTCCCTTCATTCCAATCCTATAATGACATTAGCTTCCTGTCAAGTCTGTCATTGTCAGTCTTTCTAAAGCCAAATGTAGTTTTGATAACTGAACTTAATTTGTAAGATATATTAGCGCTACACTTCAAAAGAAAATCTGGAACGAGTGAGCTACCCGAAACAAAAAAAAACAACCTGTAAACGCGTAGGTCCCCTATATCCATTGTAATTTCTCATATTTTTGACACATAAATAAACAATTACTTACAGGGGAATATGAAAGGTAAGTAACTGGCGCTTATACCAGTAAGTTTCAGGCAGTAGGACTCGACTGGTTACAGACCTTGGAGAAGGAAAACTGCATTCAAACATCCGCGGTTTTTGCAGTTATACTATTAAACCATAAGGGGAAAAAAAGCAGGTGACCTTTTGGAACCTTACAGCATACAGCGCTACAGACGGGCAGAATTCCTGGGCATCAAACAACCTAGCTGCGCCACTGATTTTTTCTATTTCATGTTTGTGTTCATTAGGCATTAAACAACGACATATAAAGGGGACTAATTCAGCTTATACCACCACTTCAATCAAGTACTATTTCTCTTCATTGTTCAAGTTACCAAACAAAATAATTAATCAAGATTACTTAATTAAATAATCGATAATTTTTTTCTTCTTCTTGTGTTGTCAGGTAAAAGAAATAATTGTACAAAATTTCAGCTTGATCCGAGATTGGATGTGGGAGAACTAACGTGTACAAACGTTTAGCTTGGTATAAGCTTTTTACATTTTAAATTAAAAAAAAAAAACAGATCCGCCGAAGTGGTGAAGTCTTATGATTTTAACCTCTTACGATGCCTTTGGGTAATGACGTCCTTTCTTGGCATATATCAAACTCCGCGCACCACCCAACTTAACCACTTGCCACTTCTATATTATAACCCGGAAGTATAATTTATTGGATGACACAAGTGTCAGTAAACAATAGGCTGTAAAACCACATATTACAAGTATATTTTTTTTATTAGAATGTTAGTATTATGGCTGGGGTTGCAAAAATTGCCACATGAGCAGTGAGCACAGTCGTGCGCGCAAGAAGTTTTTTTAAAGTGTTTAATATTTGTGTTTTAGTGTACAGCAAGTAGTTTGAATTAGGCGCGTTTTAATATGGTCGCTCATTAATGTTGTTTTGTTTAATTCGGTGAAAAAAAAAATTATTATCGTCAGTTTTATTGCGAAAAAAACAAAAAAACTTTCATTCTCTGGCAATGCCATGGTCGATCTTTGTTGAGAAACAAAATTCACCGAGGTCTTTTCAGGTGATGCGGCAGGTACTGTCCTAGCTATTTCTGGAAACCATTATCTTCTGAGAGATGTTTAGGGCCCCGGATGTGTTTGCGAGGTCAATTTGCACTGTCTCCTCTGTTAATATATTTACTGGGTATATTGTCATTTTAATTAAATTACAAAGTCGCTTAATTTCTAAACTAGATTCTTTTTTTTTTTTCAATTTCAGTTTTGCTGCTATTGTGAGATTATTGCTATTATAATGTTAGAAATAAACGAGTATTTATTCTCTGGCGCTGCCAGGGACGAGTTTCGTTAACGAGAAACAAAAAGTATTGTAGTCCCTTTAACAACTTCCACTGAGGAATTTTCTGGTGATGTGGCAGGTCTTGAGCAATACCGAACTCTGACAGCCATCAAGAATGTTTCAAGGAATGTTAATGCCCGGGAACGCTATTCTGCCTCAACGTGGCACTCGGGTGGAAACGATCATTTGAGGAAGTGATTAGGCTAAATGAATAGCAAAACATTCCAAGGGAATGCGAGAGCTTTCCCATTGCACGTTGTGGAGTTGAAAGAGAGCTTCCACGACCCTGTCGATAATCCATGCGCCGTTCCACTAATGGCGTGTCCCGTACGGTTAGCTTGGTACAACATAGGAAATAGGCGTATGTTTCCGGTGTACTCGGCCTTCGGCCATACATTCTAGTCCATGCGCCCGAAGTGCCAGATACATGGGAAATAGCAATGCTTTACATAGGCATTGACTTGGATCTCTTCCAGACAGAACGGTTTGATCAAGCAGGCTTACACGCCTAGAGCTCATAGAGCCTTCGGCTCAGCTCTTTTGACAATCAAACGGAATGTTATGGGCTTATTATTATTACTAGTCGACCGGCGGTGTAGCATATGCCGCTATTTTGCAGGGCCGGCCTTAGGCCACTGCAACCTATTCGACCGCAGTGGGCCCAGCACTTTCATAGGACCCGCACTTTCATAGGACCCGCGCTAATTCTAGGTGTATAAATTATTAAATTAAACCATTTTATAATTTATAACAGATTTCCCGCGGCCTCCTGTCGATTTACCAAGAGGTCGTGGAAATCTCCTGAAATTGCAAAATATACGAAAAAGTCCTGGAAATATCCGGAAATTAAAAAAATCTTTTGAAAACTCGTACAAATCTCCTGAAATATATAGACGAAAATTGTCATTTTGGAGTGTCATTCAATGTGAAAAACGCCAATCCTACGCGCGATAAAAACAAGCGGCATTGTGCAATACCCGCAATTATGGACTCTAGTGAAAAAAGCTTCTCGCGCCTCAAACTAAAGAAGAATTACTTGAGATCACCTATTCTAGTAGATAGATTGAAACATTTGGTAATTCTTGCTATTGAGCGTGATCTATGTAGGCAATATAATTTTTATGATGTACTGTATGACTTCGCTACACGCAAGGCTGGTAAAGTAATTCTGTACGTAGTAAAGAATGAATAAAATGCAAAGACGAATTTATTTTTTAATACAAACTCTTAATTTTCACTTATTATCCGTATCCCTACCCAAACTTGGCCCTGCGAAATCCGCTTCGCATAGGGCTCTACAATGGTTAAGTCGGCCCTGCTATTTAGTGACGGATGAATACTACTCCCCCCCCCCCCCCGACCCTCTTTTTTCTTTTCGCCTCTTAAATTACCTAGGCTAACTCCCTCCGACAGAGTTGCAAAAATAAAAGAGTGATCTTTTCATGGTGTCCAAACTCTTGAGCGTGCTCTGTCGCCTCGATAGTTAGTTACTACAGAGTAGATTATTCCCCCCTCCTTTTTTTTTTAACGTGAGGTAGAAATAAAAAAAAAAGTGATATTTCTTGGTTACAACAGTCCGGCCCTGCTATTTTGTGACTACGTGTTCTCCCCCCCCCCCCCTCTTTTTTTCTCGTGGACTATCCGCAGAAATAAGAGAGTGATGTTTCCTTTACTTTTTCTTCTCGTTTAAACTGTTGAGGGAAGAAGAGAATTATTTATATTGATTCTTATGATTATTAATAATGTTGCTGGAATATTTATTGCAGCTGTAAATTATTTAGTGCTCTAAGGTTAGTGTGTTGGTCTTTAAAAATTTCAGAAATCCCCAATTCTAGCTGAGCCTTAGATGCATTTTTACAAAACACGTTCTTTTTTCAAATGATCTAGCTCTCTTTGGCAATTCCGTGTTTTTTTTTTTTTTTTTTTAGAATAACTGACCTCTATTTAGCAATGACAGATTTCTCTTTTGGAGTGTGACCTTGTTTGCTGGTTTTCCAAAAATATTGTTTTTAGATTTTGTTAATTCTTTAATGGGACAAGTTTGATGCTTATTCTAAACTAGTCAAAGTTCTTTACGTATCTATGACTTTCATTCATATGTAATGAATATAATTGCAACAAGTGGATTCTTTGCTGTTTATAGCTGTTCTGTGACTCTAGTGTCTAGCAACAGTAATCATTTACCAATGGTAATCTCGTTTAACTAAAATATCATTTTTGTATCTGTAATATCAGAAACACTATTATCAAAATTACTATTTGTTACAATGAAGGTAATTATAATTTGGTATGTTAAATCTGATGACCCAACGTCCACTTTAATGCCAGGAATCCTTGTTTATCCTAGGTAAAGAAATGGCATCCTTCCTCTTTACGAAATAAAATATTTTAATCCTTCAATTATAAATGATGAAAGTTTTGAGCACACTTTATAGAATAAGATATGATACACATTATAATTCAAATTAAAACGAAAAATTCACAGTTCTAGATTTAACATGAAGCTTGCAACTTATAGACTAGCCAGACTGATTTTTTTTTACAATAAAAAACCTTATATAGGGTTTTAAACCGAAAGACCTACACTCTACGTAAAAAAGTTGTTTCCTTTTCCTTAACAAGCTTTACTATATAGAGACTCGAAGCTTCAGAAAGATAATGTACAGTAGAACGTCGTTTATCCGAACGTTTATTATCCGGAGCGTCAAATATCCGGACCAGTTTTTTTTTTTTTTTTTATCAACCACATGTACTGTAATGCACATATACTGTATGAATACGAAAAATAAGTGATTATTTTCCACAATAAAGGTAAAATTGCGACATTTGTCACCTATTTTGCTCGTTCTTCACGCACGTGTCCCGCATGTGATGATTTTCAATATTCGTATAGTGTCCGGTTGCATATACTGCATGGATCGCTTCGGTTTTCGGTTATCCGAACAATCGCGTATCCGAACGGTGTCCGGTCCCAATTGAGTCGGATAAACGACGTTCTACTGTATATTAAATTTTCTGTTTGCACTTCTCTAGGGACACAGACGGCTTGTTACGCTAACTATTCTAACTAGGGCAAAGTCTGTACTGTACTGTGAAATATAGTGTTCACTTAGAGACCTAGTAAATTTATAAATAGAGCTTACAGTTTCTACACTATGCATTAATACCATTCTAACAATAAACTAAATTGATCACCTCAGCTCTTACTGCTGGTATTGATGTAGCTAGTAAGCTACATTTATAGGCTAGAAGTTGCTGTTTTTTTGATGTTCATGAAGTTGTTGGATCTTGATTTTGTACTTGATGATACAAAACTGAGAAACAATTGGCAGCAGA